ATCACTGTTAAGATTGAAATGCACTAGTCTAACCAATGAAAACAAACCAGCTATAAAAAACAATGGATGACTTCATAATGAAGAAGAAAATGGGAGCTTATAGATTTTAAAAGATTAAATTACACAATTTAAAGTATATGATTTAAAATCTAAGGTTAATGATGTCAATTAAATTGAAAATATATGATTTACAAAAATTCTGTTTATAAACATTTTGTTTATAAACATAGCTATTTGGAAAGATAAGGCTCATCTATATTCTAAAGATTTTGAATTTTCTAAAAAATATAATTTGACTTTTCCTGGACTAAGGTGTATCCTAAAGTCATTTTATATTTGTTTGTTTAGCAGAGTGCTAAGTTATGAAAAGATTTTTTCTAAATAACAACTGCAACAAAAATTACAACTATGTAGTAGTTTCTTAGCCTTCCTTCATTTCCTAGGATGGATCTTTAAGGAGTTTTTTGTTTGTCTTTAATGTCTACAATTGCTCCAAAGTTTAGCATAATTCAAAAGTTAGCACGTTATAGTGTAACATCATTGGATTCCACATTTCTAACTGAAATATTTTGTAAATAAGGCAAAGTATGCACAGGACATTTTTCAGAAAATCCTCAGGTATTTGGTTTAATTTCATTTTTCACAATTTTTTACTCTCCTGTTCTCATATGCATATATTTATGCACTTTACAGCCAAATATATACAGTGAAAAGTATATATATGTTACAGTTAAAATACATATTCTCTACTCGTATACATATATTTATACACTTTACAGTCAAATTCAGTGTTGAGCAGAATTTTGCTGTTCATTCTCCTAACCTGCATTTACCAAAGGGCTAAAAGCAAAAACAGAAGCACCTAATTTGATTGACATATGTAAGGAAATCCAATTATTCACATTTGAAAAAGAGAACCTCACAGAATTCAGACACGTCACACAAGGAGACAAAGTTTCTTTCCATTCCTGGAGATAGGATACCTCTGCCAAACTAAGCATCCTCAGACAGAGGAGACACCAACATTTGTAAAAGGCACTTATAACTTCTCAGTTTCTACTATGTGATGACCCTCTTCATCCAGAATTCCTCCTTAGAATCCAATCAAAATAGCTTATTCTTTTTTAAAAATCATTCTCCTCTTGTTCTTTCTTCAAGGAACACTGAAATTAGCTGTCCACCATCATCTGAACAATAGTCCTTTAATAAGTCCATGAAAACATGAAATAAAGCACACACCCTCACTTTCATTTTATTAAACTATTTCAGATCTATTTTTACCTTTGTTTATAGATTCCCTTTATAATTAGGATGCTTTATGCATAAGTCTCAAAGCCATTGTGGTGGTTAAGTTTGTGTGTCAACGTGGCTGGGTCTGGTTGAGTGGCTGGACAGCTGAACGTAGTTATTCCCCATGGAGAGATTAGTAATTAACTCCATGGTGGAATCTATTGGAGCAGCTGAGTAGCTGCTTTAGCGATGTTGTCTGCTTCCTGTATATACGAAACAGCTTTGGGAATGGTCTCTAGCTTATGGCACGCTTGGACCCTGCATGTAGCCATACCATTGTTCGGCAGCCTACCATGCTCTACCAACCCTGGGACTTTCTATGGACTTGAATTAATGGCATGCCATGTGGTTTGGTAACATCAGGACTATGCCTTTTGACTCGTCAACCTTGGGCTTGTCAGCCTCAGAAGCTACCAGCTGTCTGAGTGGAGAAAAGTGTCTAGCTTCAGAGGGCTGGGAGCAGGAGGTAGAGCTGAAGGCCAAGGTTTAGGAGCTTTCACCCAGCCCCTAAAGCCTGGCACTTTGAACTTGGACTTAAAGCCTCCAAACTGTAAAAGAATATACTCCTTTGTTCAAGCATCCCATTTGTGGTGAGTGCAGAGGTGTTGCCTTTTTCTAATTTGTACACAGACCCTAGTGATGGGCCAGGTGAAGACGTCCAAAAGATAGCTGCAGAAGGAGACAATTCACCAGGAAAGAGCAAATTTAGGAGACATCACAATTTAGTGCTGAACTGACCGATACAGTAGCCAATAGCCCTTTGGGATAACTAGCCACATTTGAAATGTGAAAAGGCCAATGTGACTAGTAGTCACTGTGTCAGATGGCACAGATATAGATCATTTGCATCATCATAGAAACTAGTATAGAGCATGAAAATTAGAAGGAAAAGTTTAGGGATAGAACCAGTGTCCAATTACCCAATAAGCAAGGTTAAGCACAGCTTTACTTGTGCTAATCTGCAGTGAATTATTTCACATTTTTTCACCACATAAAAGATTCTGCTTCTAGGTATGGCTGGCATCTGTCTGTCTCCCAACCCCATAGCACTTTCCTACACCATCAAACCTCTTCTCAAATTTACAATCCCTGTTAGGGACAGAGTACCCAGTAAACGAGGTAGGTACGGGTTTACTTATGCTTACTTATGAATCTTTAATGAACAGTTTCACATGGTTTCACCATGTTTTACAACTCTTCATTATAGATTCATAAGTAAGCACAAGTTAACCTATGCCTACCTTGCTTATTGGGTAATCTGCCCCTGGACAGAACCCTGGGGAAAGAAGAGGTATACTAAGAGTAAGGAAGGAAGAGGAGTGGAGTGAAGAGGAATAATCAAAGGAGTAAAAGGGAAAGGAAAAAAAAAAAAAATGGCCATGACCAAGAGAAAGGAAGCTCTTTTGGCATAGTGGGTAAGACATCTGGCTTCTAATCAGAGTCAGCAGTTCAAATCTACCAGCTGCTCAGAGTGAGGAAGATGAGACAATCTACTTCCGTAAAGATTTACACCTTTGGAAACCCAATAGGGATCATTATGAGTCAGAATTGACTCAATGGCAATGGGTTTGATTTTGGACTGGTGACCAAGAGAAGACAGATTTCAAGATGAAATGGTCAAGAATAAGAAATGCTGAAAAGAGATCAAATAAGGAAAGGATAAAGAGTAATCTTTAGGTAGTTCCCTTTACCCTGGTATCTGCACAGCATTTGGCATTGCTAACAATTTCTTCAGCTGTAAAACAACTGAGTAAGAAAAACTCTCCTACTCAAATGACAAGCTTAGCTTTCAGGAAGAACACAAGTACCGCACTTCAGAAAGGACAATGTTGGAAACGTGACCATTCTCTTCTTACTCTGTAATCAAGAAAGGGAGGCTTTGCATAGCCATCTTCCTTCTGGGATAGATTTTATGAGTCTCTATTGAGGTCTATAACAAACTCTCTGCCATTGAATCAATCCGGCTCATAGCAACCCCCAATGGGTTTCCAAGGTGGTAAATCTTTATGGAAATAGACTGCCTGGTCTTTCTTCCACAGAGATGCTAGTGGGTTTGATTCGCCAACCTTCTGATTAGCAGTCAAATGCCTTAGACACCACATCTCCAGAATTCCTGGATTGAAGTCTATTTTATTGCTAAATAGATCTCTTGAATGCATGAGTCAAATAACTGTATTCAAACACCAAACAGCACACAAAATTCTCTTCTAAGATCAAACATCAAGCTGAACTAAAACATGTAGCATGGGACAGAATCTGGAAGAAACCACATTCCCGTTGAAATCTGGGAAATCTAAGATACCAAATATAAAAGTAGAAAATATTACTCTCTAATATCTATTACTCAGAGTAATAGAGTAATGAATTTGTATTAGATTTACAATATTAGGGTGCGAAAACATGGGTTTGATAAATTGTGATGTATTAAGTACCTCTTGCTGTCTCCTGTACAACTGTCAAAGTCTGAGAAAATGAACCAGGTAAGAGTTTAAGATGTTGGTAATTGACCAAAAATGTATTAAGCCAATTTCACAATCAAGATGACATTTATACATTTTTCTCTCGTAGCATAGTGCCTAAGGCATGTGACTGCTAACCAAAAGGCTGGTGGTTCAAACCCACCAGCCACTCCTCAGAAGGAAGATAGGGCAATCTACTTCCATAGAGATACTGCCTTGGAAACCCAAGGAAAGGTTGGGTCAGATCCGACTCAATTGCAATGAGTTTGATTTTTTTTTTTTTAATTTGGAACTCAGGTTAGTAGTTACAGTTAGTTAATAAAATGGTGAAGCATAAACACCAGAAGTAAACCCTGAAGCAACCATGTTTGCACAGGCAAGATGCTCACTCCACAATTAGAAGTAGGCAAAATCACTCCCATGAATCCTGTGACAGACAGGACCTGGGGTCAGGATCAGGGAAGGGACACTGAAGAGACCTTAAGAAAAACCAATGGCTACTTCCCTTTGGATTAATGTAACTGGGAAATAGAAAATTTGAGACTAAAAATTGAATCAAAGCAGGTGCCAGTTCATGATTTAATGTAAAATAGTACAATAAGCAAATAATGTTTGGTTCTGAATCATTTATAAGTTATACAATAAATAACTCTGGTAGCATGGTGCCTAAGGCACTTGACTGCTAACCAGAAGGCTGGTGGTTCAAACCCACCAGCCACTCCTAGGAAGGAAGGTTGGGCAATCCTACTTCTGTAGTGATACTGCCTCAGAAACCCAAAGAGGGGTCGCTATGAGTTGGGGCCGACTCGATGGCACACAACAACAACAACAACACAATAAATAACATCACATGGATTTTAACTACTAACAGAAAGCAGGACAACACCATGTTCCCCATCAGCATCCAGACTTTTCCTTGTGAACATAATGCCAAACTGGAAGTAAGCACTCACATGCTCATGACCTGCACTCTGTTTCCTCTCCAGAGATATTTACCAAATATAGAGAACAGGGCCATCTTTTAATCGAATTAGTTTTCCTTGGCCACTATTTCGAGCTTGGCTCATACTATACTGGGGATTCTGCTGATGTCATGCCCTGCCAATAAAATCATCCTGTAGGCGAAAAAAAGGCACTGGCACAATGCAAAAATAGACACTAGAGGTGAAAAACAACCAAAGGGAAAAAAAAAAAAAAAAGAAACAAGAAAGAAAGAGAAAAATAACGAGAGATGAATCATACCATACTTACAACTTTCAGCCTGATAGTCTGGCACAAACTGCTCATCATTGTCAGGTACCTGAGCTGAAGAAAGAAAAAAATACATATATTGTTTTATTTAGAGAGAAACTGTTAAAGCATAAGGAATCACAAGTAATTAGTTTTGTGTGCTGAGATCAAATCTACAATTGTTTCCCATGAGTTCCTATGTAAAATGGCATTGAAAGCAATACTTGGGAGGAGAAAAAGAAAGGATCATTGATGTTAACTATAAAACGACCGTGTGTGTGTGTACATGTGTGTGGTGTGCATGTGTGTGCACGTGTGTGTTTATGTGTAATATATAATAGTAGCAGTTGTATTCCCTCTGAATTTCACTCACCAGAAGGAAATAAAAGGAACACACAAAATTAAAAAAAAGCTATAGAATTTCTATTTAGCAAGAATGGAGCAAAAAGATACTCCAAGTCACTCACTGCCAGTCTGTAAGCAGCTCATCTAAATCACCTCCACAATTCTTTGAAATGATGCACAGTTGTCACACACACCTCAGCTTCTTTCCAAACGTATGCTCTTGCTATGTTCAGTCTACTGCAAATTAGACTACTGTAATGAAACATGTTTTTCCTAAATTTGCCCAAAATGTGCTAAAAAGTTTTTAAAAGAATTGTTTTCAATGGTTATGATCAAATAAAACAAAAATAATTATAAACTTCACCTCATCATGCAAAATATTTTCCTGGTGATTATTCAGCACTAACAAAAAGATTATCATTACTTCATCAGTTGTAATGTCAAATGACTTGCCTATTTTTAGTAAAGGAAAAATACTGAATAGTAGGATTTAATATATTCAGCAACAATCAAAACAAAAGTACACATTTTCACTCCTAAAATGTTTTCATCACACTTGATTTAGCCATTGCAATAATCTAATCCCAATTGACAGAATATTACTAAAATAAGTTCTCGCATGCACACACACAGTTAAGCACACAAAAACTACACAAAATCTAAACCAAACTGACTGCCATGGAGTCAACTTTGACTCATAGCAACCTCCATTGGGTTTTCAAGGCTGTAAATCTTCATGGAAGCAGACTGTCTCATCTTTCTTCTGCTAAGCAGCTGGAGGGTTTGAACCATCAACCTTTTGGTAAGCAGCTAAATGCCTTAACCACTACACCACCAGAGCTCCTTAAAATCGTTATTAGGTTATTTGCCATATGTAAAAATACAGTGACTTATTATCCTAATTAGCTTCAGCTATGATTTGATTAAGTAGTATTAATTTACTAGTATTATATTGTACTAAAACTTTTTTACTCAATCAAGTTATATTAAAACAGATGTCAGCTAACAGAAAAAAAAAAGGGGGCTTTTTCTGCATGGGAATTCTTTTTAAAATAGTGTCTTGAAAAAGATGCAGATAGGCAATTTACTGGGTTAAGAAAACTCTATGTAAAAAGGAATTAGGTTACTGAATATAGCCCAGATAAATTTAAAGTTTGTTTTGTTGTTTATTTAACAGAATTTTAAATATCAGAACTATGTAGCTCAAGAAAATGTATGTTATATTATTAACAGCATTTAACTATCCATTGATACATACTGCATTGCCTATTATATGCAGTTTGACAGTCAACTGTTTTCTAAAACTTTTCCCACACACCAATACTTTAACAGCTTAGGAAACACACACTTCACCCCCTTCTACCAAATGAAACCAAATAAATTAAGAACACTTCATGCCTATTTGATGAGCCTAGGCTGTAAGGAGATTTTTTTTTTCTTCTTTTTTGCTCATTGTATTTCACTAATATCTGATACTGTGGGTTAAAACCTTAAAGACAAGCAAACTTCAAATTATAGTTCTAGCACTTAGTGGTTGTTTAACTTTGGGGCAAGTTATTATTTACCTTAATTTTACTGAACTTAATTTTACTCACAAGTTTAATAGTGATAATGAAGGTTTTTCTTTGAGAATTAATTAAATAGGCTAAATATAATGGGAGACACAATGACAGGTACACTATGAATGTAACATATTTTCTTCTTTCCGATCGTCCACCATCAATTCCTTTCTTTCAACTTACAAAAAAAAAAAAAAAAAAAAAACCTACTTCAATCTTTACAACACAAAATTAACAGCTATACTTCTAAGGAATTATACGGAAGGTGAATAAAAGTAACAGCTAAAAATCATTCATCAGCATTACCTTAGAAATTAACAGCATAATATAATTTTTGACATTGTATTAAGTTTGCTTTTTCTTAGATTTATAAATAAATGAGAATAGTACTGTTTGCATCACCCAGGGACTTTTTAGTGCCCTTTAAAATAAATTTTCACAGTAAAAAATTACAAATATGGTTATGTATATATATTTAATAAGTAACAATGGATAGAAAGAATCAAATCCTGAACTTTTTTTTTTTTTTTTGTCATTATACCTACACATTTTGGTTCTCCTCTAAATTAACAGCCATACAGATCTAACTATTGAGATGCCAAATTATCAGCCACAACAACTACTATGCTTTTAAAAAAACAACATTTACAAGGATCTATTAAAATGTAATATCCTTTATAGGAATAGTTAAAAATAGCTAGTGAGTAACAAAAGTATAACTGTAACCAAATATGCTGGTCTGAATATGGGGAAGACCAGATTTTTTTTTCTTACTATCATGCAATTCTATGATATATATCACTGCAAGAAAGGCATAACTATCACTGGTGGATCTGTGGTGTGTGTTGGCATATGTGTGGGGGAAAAAGGCAAAACTTTAGAAGCAGAAGAATCTAGAACTTATACCTCAAAAATACACAAAAAATAGCTGCATGCTAACAATTTGTAAAAAAGAGTAAGAATAAGAATTGCTATTTCTATGCTAAATCCTTAACATACTGAATAAATACTTCACACTTATGCCTGAACATATTACAGAATTTTAACAAAAAACATATGACTCACATTTTCACAGAAGCTAATCTTAAGAAACTGAATAGATCAAATGAAGCAGCATACTACTTAAATAGAGGCTTAAGTATACCTCTAATTTCAACTGAGACTAAAAGGAAAGCAGTTAACTGAAAACACAAGTTGGATCCAGGCAAGGAAAATATGACAGAGTATTGCTGCATTTCTGTTATACATTTCTTCTTCTTTCATCAATGGACAACAATTCTGTGAAGTCGCAAACTACAGCTGCCTGAAGTTGTGGCAAGCCATGCCAAGTCCAAAGCTGATAATTAACAATACAAGTCAACCTAACAAAACAAAAAAATCCACTACTGTGTTATAAACTATGCTTGAAATAATCACTCTCGGAGTTAACAATGTTTTTCTCACATTACACAATTACAGAGGATGGGAGAGAGGAAAAGAAGGACAAGGGGAGCAAGTATACAGCAAAAGACCAATAAAAGGCTTTCAAGAAGATCAAGCATGTGGATTTTATTGGTAATAGCTGGAGCAGCTCTATCAGTTCATCGCACATTAATAGACAAGTTGCCATCCAGTCTCTTCATCGCTGCTTTAAAAGGAGAGTAGCTGCACTCTCAGCTTTACCTAGATTATTATCTAATGTTTTTGTTTGTTTGTTTGTTTTTCTTCTCTCTCCCCACCACATATCATGGGAAAGAAATCTGTAAAAATATTAATCTAATCTATGTTGTTGTTGTTATGTGCCGTCCAGTCGGACCCGACTCAGGACCGTAGCTTTCCGAGGCGGTATCACTACAGAAGTAGATTGTCCAACCTTCCTTCCAAGGAGTGGCTGGTGGGTTTGAACCACCAGCGTTCTGGTTAGCAGTCAGGTGCCTTAGGCACTACGCTACCAGCGCTCCTAGCTATAGGGCACAGAATTCTCAAGCATCATTTTTAATTTTCATATCCTTTTATAAGTAATATTTTTTGGGGAGTGGGGATAGGCAATTTTTAAACATACCTTACATTTGTAAGCCCATTTGTAGCTTTCAAATTAAATAATAATCATTGTTTAAGAAAAGGTAAGCTTTGAATATTTTAGGCTGGCTGCAGGCAAGTAAAAACTTTTTTTGCTTACAAACTAGGGGCCTGTGAGATTTTCTTTTAAAGCTAGTAAAGAAATTAGAGAAAAATTACAAACAAAACAAATATCAAGTATAGAAGGGGTTAATATTTAATTAAAACCAGTTCTATCCACCATAACAATGACCTGGAGCCAAACAAGGCGGAAGATGTATGAGTCATTCTTTCTGTCGTGAATGAGACAGCTGATCTTCTCAGCAATTCCTCAAGACAGGCAGGCAGTTCTGGAGTTCTGCCTCCATTCACAAAAACACAGTCCAGCATGAGCCATGTGGCCCAACCGCAAATCTTTTCATGTCACACCCTTCCGAAGAGCTAAAGCAAGTAAACTTGAACTTGCAATATAAACACACCAATTTTATTGCTCTCTCAAATACAGCTCAGACTCATTAAGGAACACATTTAGATAAATGGCATGTTTATAAAATTTTATTTATTTAGAAAGGAAGATAATTTAACCCATCCTACTTTACAGGGTACCTTGTCAAGAAAACTTGAATATACTGAACTAAGAGAGGAGGGAAGAAGGGAAAAAGTCATTAAAGAAATGTCTTTTTTATTTCTTGCCCACAATTCATGTGTATTATTGCATTTTGCTTTGAATCAAAGGGTTAGAAATCAGCTTCTCTGAAGAAATTTAAAATATATCTTAAGCAAAATTGTAAGAAAATCAACTTTCAAACAGTGGTATTCTTGTTTAATCCAAGAATACAGCTTCAGGCCATGGAACAAAATAATCATGAGTCCACCAAGCCTGGTTTTATATCATATCCGCTTTTAACATTAAAATCATTGTACCAATGTATAAGCATTAATTGATGTAGAAGTATAAACATACTTAAACACACACAAAAAGGGGGCTATTTCCCCATGACAGAAACATCTTGAATACTTGATAAAGACACTGTTTCTATATATTCTCAAAGAAAAGAATAAATTTTAGTTGTCTTGAATGTCAGCTCAGCTTCATTTCTTAACTCTAAATTGGCCTGCTGTGACTTGAAAACTTATGGGTAGTTCAGAGCCAACTAGTTGTTTCTAGATGAATGGTTTGTCTAATGCTACAGAGGTATTGACTATTTGTCATTGTTTTTGACTGCAAGATTCTACACAGATCAAAGGGAATAAAGTAATATTACAGAACTCAAAAAGTTCCACATTTCCTATAACTGAACCAGAAAAGCTCAGCAATACTTCATTAACATTTTTTCGGATCCTCTGGAAAAAACTATACATATGCAACCCCAAGTTCAATTTTTCTATTTTTAAAAAATACTTTTATTTTTTGCATATAGATCCTAGACAAGAAAACATTTTGACAAGTCCGATGAATATTTAGAAATAAAATACGTTCATTCTGCCTGCTAACTTTAAATCATGTCCAAATGAGAAGTCATTCTTTGGAATTTTAAAGTATATCCTGGTGCAACAGAGAGTGGTTGCCCCTTCCCTACACACACACACACACACACACACATCAAACGACTCTTCCTCAACTCTTAAGCAATCTTATGGACTTCTGTAATTTAATGCTTAATTCTTAATTCCTTTCTCATGTGAACAACATAAAATAATGTAGTTCTAATAGCCTTCATTTCTCATGACAAAGAAAAAAAATAGCATTCATGAACATTTTTCTAATTGTATGCTCCAATAAAAAAAAAAAATACAATTTTCAATACATAAAATGAGTGCATCATGACTACAGTATATTATGGAAGACATTCTGTACAGCATATAATAATAGAAGATATTATTTAAGGAACTTCATAAAATTGACTTTGGTTATGAATTTAGAATCAGATATTGAAATGAATTAAGATTATAATAATGACATATCTACTTTTAAGTCAATCTATTAAATGGTTGCATAAATTAAAAAAAAAAAAGTATTTGAATGAAGTAATAACTTTTGGCATAGAAATGCTGTTCTTGGAGATAAAACTCTGACTTGGAAGTATGTTGTTGTTGTTATGTGCGTCAAGTCAGAACCGACTCATAGCAACCCCTCCTTGGGTTTCTGAGGCAGTATCACTACAGAAGTAGATTGCCCCATGTTCCTTCTGAGGAGTGGCTGGTGGGTTTGAACCCCCAGCCTTCTGGTTAGCTGTCAAGTGCCTTAGGCACTACACTACCAGAGCTCCCGACTTGGAAGTATAGTGGAAGCATAAAACTTCAATATTGCAAAGTAATTGAAAAAGATTTTAGCCTGATGGCAGCTAATCCTCCTTAACTCCTTTCTTTAATATTACTAAAGAAACACAGAACTTCTAGACCCCACCAAAAACTATCTTCAAAAGTAGCTATGTATTTACATTACATATATACTGAAATTTATGATTTTCTTTAAATTGTATTAGTAGGTAAACTTTCATAAGCAAATTTTCAAGAAAGCATTTTTTAAAATTCAAGTTTGCATCCTTCTATTTCTGTCCTATTCACACAAAAGGTTCGATTTTAACTGTGATTTTCTAGGACATCAGCCTCTAAAGCACAACTGAGAGAGGCTGTTAAACAATAAGACGTCACCATGATGTTGACGAGATTGATATTTGAACTCACTATTTGATGAGATCAAATAATTGCAATTGCCTTTCTGTCAGTATCAATCATATTCAAAAGATAAATAATCAATACAAGAATTGTACATAGCCAAATTATAATATTAAGTAATAATGGGATAAATATAAATTACACATTCTTTCTTTTTAACTACTATTATGGCCACTGAAAATACTAGCTTTTCAACTTTCTAAAATTCAGAATACAATGTGAGTACTTTAAATTGTGATATATAGGATAAAAATCTTTAAATTGTAGTGTGAACATACAGAAAGTGATACTAGTGTAAAGCTATACTCACCACAAATGTGTTTTTGATCCCTGTGTAGAAATTATTTTGGGGAGAGAATGGAAGTATATTCAGAGACGATTTTACTGAATTGGAAATGCTGATTCCATCCTCACCTTCACATAGTCCTGGCCTAATCTATCCCAACTTTCTCTTAGAAGTAAGTTCATATTTCATAACCCATACTAATCTGCCCAGTGACTAATACATATGTTGAATTTTGGGTCTACCTTAGAAAAATGCTTATAGGAAAGAACAGATTAAGTATGCTAAGATACAGCATATCCCACATATTTAGAGACTTTCACTGTTGTTTTTAAAAAACATGGTTTTCATATAACACATTACAACTAACTTGACTCATGTCTAATAAGATTTTTAGACCTGTTTAATTTCCCACTGGGATTCTAACTTATGAGAAAAACTTGGTTAATTGCCAAAGATCTTTTTCAAAACGGTCAATGCCTTAAAATTCTATGGTCACTTTCTTGGCTACCGGTCATTAATAAAAGAAATATGTAAATGGTATAAATTCTGACAGTTTGGCAATGTTTTTATTTCTGGATGTGCAGAGGACATAAATGGGCAAATCTAGCTACAAATAAAGTAGGATAATTTTGAGATCTCTTTTTAGCTAATTATTCAAGCCTTGGAATAAGTCAAATTAAAATGTTAATGCAAAATAATTAAATTGTATTTAATAACTCAAACAAAAGTAAATGTGGAGTCTATTAACAAATAGTTTTTTTTTAAAAAAACTCTTCTCAATCTTAGATTTTTAAAAAATCACATAACAATTTTTGTTTACATCATGGTTGGATAAATGAAACTATTCTGACAAATGTTTAAATTCTTCTAAATGTAATATTATGCCTAGTTTGTAAATAGCAGTCCACCTGGGTATTTAATAAAACACTCTGAGGATTAATTCCTGAACTTAGTAAGTTTATGCATTCTTTTCTAAGTGAAAGTCTACATTCCTCAAATACATTGGTCATATTCTAGGTTTATTTTATATAAAGCTAAGTCTTCAGATTTGATTTACAGGTATGTTAAGAAATCATGGATAAGCGCAAAGCAAAGCTTTAAAAGATAGATTATTTAAATCATTTATTCAAGCTACAAGAAACAAAACAAGCCAAATATATATATATATATATATATATATATATATATATATAGATTCTAAAATGTTAAGAGTCTGTCACAGATTCTACATTTTAAAATTCCAGGAGCAGAGTTGCTATGCACATTCAGAATCTGCCAGCAAGTGCACTGACTTGGAATCAATGAGATTTTAAAATCTTAAGAAGCAACACACCTTCCAGACCAATTAAAATACATATTTAAGTTATTTTGAATAAGTGAATAAATTCTCTCATAAATTCTCTCACAACCTTCAACTTTACAATATTAATAGATAAAAGTCAACATGAGAACCTCGGTAGAGTTTTTTCTTGAAAAAGTTACGTTTGAGTGTATGGCTTATGTTGCAATAATAAGTAATCTATTGCAGTAAGTTTCATTTACAGGGACAGGAAAAATGACCTTTAAATATAACTAAAACTTTCATTAATACTTACCTTTCATTAACACACAAATACAATCACCTTTTCAAAGGACTACCAGGAAAGCTATTGAACTTAAAAGACTTATAAAGGTTGCAAAAGCTCTTTGGAGAACTGGAATATCAGCAAAACAAAGAAACTTATTTTACATACTAACAGCAACTTGATCAACTGCATGCAAGACCACCAGATAAAACAAGTCAGTCAGCCTCAAAGTACCTACAGCAACACTTGAGTTCAACTTAAAGAGACCCTCTCCTCACCAGCTTAAAAATCTGTTCAAGAAATTCTGTGCTTCTCATAGAGTGTGAAGATAGAAATAATACAATTATACTCAAGGCTTAAATATCTATAATTTTCTTTTTGTTGCTCATAAAACACATGACAAAATTAAAATTTCACATTCATTATACCAATTGCAAAAGAAAAATTGTGAATTACAAATGCCAAACATGATCTCTCAACATTAAGCATTTTTGAAGTTCTATAAAGCTTTACTCAAGTAGTATCTCATTGTTCCTATAAAATGAAGTTTCACACAATAAAAGAATAATAGATCAAATATACAATTTTATCAAAAATAATCCAAAATCAAAGTAATGTCTTTAAATGTCTACTTACTATAATAAATAAATCCTAATAAAGTTGACAAAATAACAAAGGTCAATTTCACAAACATCACATGTATAGTACCAAATAGATAACATTTTAAAAATCATCAAAACCCCATAGATTTGTTTTAAATGCATAGATTTCCTAAATATTAGATACACACCTAACGTTCTGTGTTGTGAACAAGGTGGAAAGAAGACACTTGCACTTAAATCTTGAAGCATCCCGTCCTGATGAACCCAGAGAAACTAATTTCTGCCATCAGAGAAGTCCTCCACCAGAACACCAAATAATGATATGCGCTGCTCTAAAGGAAACAGCAAGCCGGGTTCTGGCTCTAGGAGGTCTCTCGAGGTACAATAATATAAACCTGATCAATTGCAATTAAAATCTGAAGAGAGCCTTAGAACTTGAAGTCTTGGTGCATTAGTTCTTGCCAAAAGCAGATGTGATTGTGAGCTGGAAGCAATTTCTCCTGGTAATTTGTGATGACACTGGGTAGTGCAGCCCCAGAGTCCCCAAAGACAAACTCATCAGAGGCTCTAATGTATGCATGACACATGAGGTGGCTCTTTTAGAGCTCAATTAATTGGGCTGAACATTAAGACAGCAAGTTCAGGACTTTTTTTTTCCCCCTTCTAGAGTTGTTGCTTTTCCCCTTTTAAAGCAATTTTTACCTTACCTTCTGCAAGCCATGTTTCTTGTAATTGACTTAGATCTTGAAAGAGTTCTGAAAAAAAAAGTCATAGGGCATAACATAAGATTTGCAAATCTCTAAGGCTCCATTAAATAGAAATGTTCATCATCATAAAATTGGCATTAAATATCAATTCCACTTGTGGGGGGGTCAATATAAGAAAGTAAGGTTCATATCTGAGCAATCTCTCATAGTTCTGATGGCTATCAAGCAATGCTTTTTTAAGAAGCTCATATAGTCTAAAAACTAAAGAATAGTCTTTTTTTTTTTTTTTTTTCCTCTCTCTCTTAGCAAGAAACATAATAAATAAGCTTAGGGACATCAAATATAAGTACAGTAAGATTCACAAAAAAGGCAGAGGGGAAGGTGTGTCTATCTGTGGAAGTTACTCTTAAATTTATTCAATTCTTGTTAAAACAGTAGTGAGAGAACAGAAAGAGTGAAAAGAATTTTATTTATATCTTCTGAAACTTATATAAATGATAACATAGTATATGAGATAACCCTGATATGTTATCAGGTTTAGTAACAAAATACTAAAAGGTACAACTTGTAAATACAAGTTTTTTGAGGAAAATTTCAACAATAAAAGGTTTATAAAATCAAAAAGAGATAATTCCCTGAGTTCTGTAAATTATCAAGTGCAAACTTGTATATTCTGTCCTATTGGGGTGGGGGTGGGGTTTGAAGGTGTTCAGTAAGCAAAAGGATATTAGGAAGTTTCAGAATATAATATATATACTCTAAATTGAAAACTGACTTTTGATAACTAAATCTAAGTATATTAAGTTCATAATGAATGTCCCTATATGGTTGAAATAATTTATAATGTATTGATAACCTACCAAGAGTTCATGAAAAGACTCTGTAGTCTAACTGCCCAAATAGGTAATATAATTATTAATTAGGCCTTCATTATGATTCTGGATCATGATTCAGTGAACACTTTTAAGGCCTATAAACAAGGTACTATATGACTCTACCTTGTAGTCATTAAAATCCTTCCTAATTTTGATAGTAGTTTATGATTTTAATGAAAAGGGGATAGAGAATCAAACAATTGTATACAGTAGGAAGAAAAAATTAAACAGTGTACATAGCTGTATAATGTGTCCCAATGTGTTGACTATTTTAGAATCCATACCTTAGTGTATGGTATTAGTTATGTGTCATATGGACAAGTGCAGTCAAATATAAAAGAATGATTGAAAGAATGATGTCACTTTTAATTTTTATTTACTTCTTCATTAGTTTTGTGACAAGACCACAAACATTCTCCAATGCAAACTGTCACATTATGTAAATTGCTCCAAATAAAAGTATTAGTTAAATTCAGTAATTATAAAGTTTACTATTTTTAAGATAAGATTGGAGTGTTCCTCTTCTTTATGAGGGTGGGAGAGTAGGTAAAGAAGGGGAAGTCAGTCTAAAATCAAACCTCACCTTCTGAATCATGAGCCAGATCTCTGTTAATGAATTTTCTTTTCCTGACATTTGTTGGTTTCTCGTTACAATGTCTCCCACGCTGACTCTAAAAGGGAAAGATAAAATCCTTTAAAAGAATGTAAACCTCAGATGTCACACACACACACACACACACACAAAAAACATGCAAAAATAACCTAAAGTCTACTGGATCCTCTTTCTTAATGGAAAAATAATTCCATAGTATCAATTCTGATTTTCAGGTTTTGCATTCATGTTAGTGAAAATCTACACTAAGACTTCAACAGCCAAGAGAGTTGTAGCCCTATGCGGATCCTAACACTCTAATACTTATCAATCATATATTCATGGTATCTCAGCATCAAAACAACATCAAGCAATTACACTTAAAGTCTTTTTTAGGCTGGATCAAAGCTGGATTAAAAGACTGAATTTTAGTTTCTCAGATACCCACAAAAAAAGCAGCTAAAAGAGAGTGGAGAAATTTTTAAAAATGAGAGAGAAAATGAGGAAAAAAGAAACAAAAACACCCCATGTAAACAAAAAGTGTCAGCATTTGTCTCAACTTCATTCTTTTCAATGTGGCAGACAAACCCAGCCAGAAACTTTGAGTGCAGCAGCTGCTGCTGCCCTCCATCTCCTCTTCCACTCATCTTGAACACTTTAATCAGAAAAAGGGGTCTTAAAAAACAAAACTATGCCTTATCCAAATCACTGAAAGGTAAGCTCATTTTGAAGACTGGGCTTCTAGAAGCAGAGTCGCCCTACAGTGGCAACAAAGCAGATAAAGTATCTGCAATCCCAACCCCCTTGCCCCCTCCCTTCTTAGCCTCTCCCTCCCCCATTCCTCCCTCCTCCCCCCCCCCCGCCGGAGTCAAGTTTATAAACAGCAACTTTCGAACTGATCACTCACATTGGTGACCATGTAAGGCACTTGCTGGTCATAAAATCCATCCATTCTACTGCTCTTCGCAAATCTCAGCTCAATATTTTATATTTTGAGCATTTAGCTGGAGATTTCCTCGGGATCTGGACTTCTATCAACCTAGAGGGGAACAAGATGGCTTTTAGGCTTTAAAAAAAAAAAAAAAATCATGAATGAAGCTCTTGAATTTGCATAGCTAATTACCCCCCGACAGTCCCATTCACAAAAATAACCCTCCCTACACCGCCTCCTTCACCTGGATCCAAAGAGAGCCAAGAGAGTTCACAATTAACATATTTTCGGCAGTAGCAAAAATCCGCACAAGAGGCGATGCATTTATTTACACTCTCGATGCTTCCCTGCGCGGTCAGTGTACCCCGGGCAGCGCTGATTCGCAAACGTGTGCAAAACTAGCAATGGCGATCAACGAGACTTGCTTTGCACCTAACGGGACTAAAGAGACGGAGACACCTCTTTCGTAAGGATAGTTTTTGCAACCCATAACCATGCAATTATCTGGAGAGACATAAAAAGTTGTTAGAAAGACCCACCTGAAGGCCACGGTAGGCGAACTGCTGCAAAAAATTCCCTCCAAATTTGGTAAAAACATTAATTATTACCCAGCACTTCCCCCTTGGAAGCTGAAAGCGCCTCTGACAGAGCTCAATTCGGTGGTTTTTCCTCTACTTCTCCTCCAGGGGCCTCCAATCCAAACTGATGGATCGCTGCCTCCCATTGGCTCCGCGTCTCTTTCACAAGATCAGATTTCTGGCTGTCAATCAGGCTGCTCGCTGCCCCTTCTCACGGATCTCCCGCGCCCCTCTTCCTGAGAGAGTCCCCGGCGGCGAGGTGCGGAATCCGCAGCTTGGCAAAGCCGGCGAGAATCGACCCTCTTTCTATCCGCAGTTTATTGTTAAGACGCCCGGGGACACTGCTGCCATGTGTATCGAGTCGCCCGTTCTGGTTACTGGTATGTTTGGTTCACTGTTTGGCAGGTTTCCTTAAAGCACTTTTAGTTCAGGTGTGTATACTCTGAAGCGCGAGCCACAACGCCCCCTCAAAATCCACAGCCTCCCTACCCTTGACCTGACAAGGAGTCCGCCTCGCTGCCTAGCCTCGTTCCCACTAAGCTTTTGGCCCAAGTTATTTTCCCTTTTTTCAACCCTCCCCTAGCCCCACCACCACTATGGCTTATGGAGACTATTTTTTTTAACAGCTATTCTCAACTAAAACTAGATCCTGTCGTTCGTGGAACAGAGAAATAAAGCATCTTGTGATGAATCGTCTGAGAGAAGCCAGGGAAATGCTTATTAGGAACAGAAAGGGAGAGTTGCGTCGGGAGGGAGAACTTGGGGAGACAACAGAGCAATCTAGGTGAGGAAAAAAAAAAAAAAAACGCCGCCATCGAGTCTATCCCTACTCACAAGGATGCTAAGGACAGAGAAGAACTGCCCCATAGGGTTTTCAAGCAGGTAAATGGGTGAGGAGAAGTGTATAAACGTGTATAAACGTGTATAAAAGTGTATAAACGTGCATCGGTACCAATATGTGCATATGAGAAAGGTGCTCCCCGCCCACGGTGTAGGGAGAGAGAACAGGGAGGGGATGAGGTGGCTCGGATATCCCGGGACCCGCACGTTTCCTGAGCTTTTGTTATGTATACACGCAGGTGAGGGTGTCACTTAACTGTACTTGACGCTTTTACTTCCTCTTGAGCTTTGAAAGAGCCAGAGCCAGGAGCAGGGGGAGAGGGGTGAGGAGGCTCGGGTTTCAAGGACATGGCTAGGACGTTAAAAAGTGAGGACTGCATCTCTGAAGCCGCTTGCCGTGACCACCCTGCTGCAGGGCTTGGAGCAGTGGACAGTCGCGGCCCATCAGGGGTTGAGAGGCCGCGGGGATGGAACCAGGGACTTAGTATATTGAAATTGACTTGTAATCCTGGTGGCGACCAGAGCTGGTGACTAAAGGATGTTTCCGGCAGCTGTTCCGCCACTTGGGAAACGTGCTGCAGTTCTCCATTTCTATTTGAAATGGAACGTTGTGGAGACGCTTTAAAATGGAGTGTGAGCAAACAGGACTTAATTTTGTATCCGTAAGGGAACCAGAAAAGGAAAGGCTATGTTAAAACAAAACAAAAAATTATTTAAAACTGGGAAAATAACCAATAATTATGGGCAGCAAGGAACACATAGTGCATTCTCTGAAATTGTAGCCTGTGACAACATGAGCACGTACAAGCATTTTGAGCGGGAACTGCACTTTAACCCCGCGGGTTCTGGGAGCAGTTTAGCTCCTAGGCTAAAGGCCTGAAAGGCTCCTGGGTACTTACTGCGAGTGCACCCAGGCGGAGGACCAATAGCAAGGGTGTCCCGCCGCCTCGCATCTCGGGATAACCCACCCCTGGTAATCTGAGCAACAGTTTCCAAAGACCTCTGAGGCCGGAGCCCTACCCGTATCCAGGGTAACCGGGAGAGGGAGGAGCTTCGGGTTAGGTCCCCGAGAGGTTCTCCCTGCAGCCAATGACAAACCGTGTGTTCCCAGCCCATTGTTTTTTAGTACTGACCCCGCAGCGCTCCGCTAGGGGATTGGCCGCCTAAAGGAAGGGGGCGGAGCCTCACACGCCCCCACAGCCACCTTTCAGTTCCATTCACAAAATTCCGGCCTCTCTGGGACACGTGGTTGGGGGCGTGGAGCGCGGGGGGTGGGATGGGGGAGTGGAGGAATACAACAAAGGCCTAAGTTTCCTAAATCACAAAACTTTTTTTTTCTTTTGCCTCTGTAACTCGTCTTTCTCGACCCTGAAATAAATACTGAAAAAAAACTAAAACCGTTGACGTTGAGTGCATTCCGACTAAAGAGGACATTTTAGAGCAGAATAGAACTTTTCAACGGTTTCCAAAACTGTAAATCTTTCCGGAAATAGACTGTCATCTCTTTCTCCTGGTGGGTTCAAACCGTGAACCTTTCGCTTAGCAGCCCAGGGCTTAACCACTCCGCCACCAGGGCTATCTCGCAATAAACGCAGCAAACAAATTCTAGAAAATGAAAGAAAAGAAAAACACACTTTGAAAGCAATACAAGGCGGGGGCGGGGGGAAGTCCGAGATTAAAGGAATGTTCAAGCGGAGATAATTCCAGGTTGCACTGCCTACAATAAAAGCTGCGCCTGAGCAAAGGAACAGAATCAAGGAGAGTAAGGAGAGAGCCTTTAGCTTGTTCGACATGGCATTGCTTTTAGAAGCGCAAACAGTTTGATATTGTGGAGAGATTTCCCTTTTCTCACTGAAGGTTCTGTAATTTTCATTTTTACCTTTGATTCATCGCACAAATGTCTTGTTAATTCTCCTTTCTTTTAGGAACATTACAGGCTTACGCCGCATGGCAATTTTAGCATTTCATTTCCCCTGTTCTCTACTTCACAGGCCCCCATCCCGACCCTCCTACTGCTAGAACAGCACACCCAAGCTGCGGGCTAAGCCTCCCATTTTATTTTGTAATGCCTAAATTCCATATTTTCCCTTTCTAGTTCTTTAAACAAACTCATAGCATTTAACTACTTCATTTTAGGATTTCAACTGAGTATTAATTGGAAATGTGAAAAAGCAGTCACTTTCCCCACATCACAGCTTTATTGAAACAGCTTTAAATGTTGAGACAAATGTACCATTCTTGCAAGTGAATGATTGAACCATGACAATTTCTCTCTCACTTTCTGTGCTATCCTATTTTGTGCTTTGATGCTCTCTGAGACTCTAGCTTTTAGTTTGGCCGCTGTTTATCTTCTATGCTTGGCACTGGGGACAACCAACAGGGCCAGTGGCTGCAGCAGACATTGGAAGGGCTCAAGTTTTGTTTTTCAGAAAAACTTACGATTGTGGAAAATGTCTACAGAGGCAGCTGTTCTCTCCACTGAGGGGAACGTCAAGAGTTGCACAAAGTTTCCACTACTTTTGAAAATGAGTCTTTAAAAAATCAGCTTAGTAATGCCAGTCCTTGTTGAATGGAAAATTTCATTTTGGCAGGATTTCAGGCATAGAATGGCAGAACAGAGGCCAAGAGGCTTTGACATTTATTTACTTGTATTTTGAAATCCCATTTGAGTTTTGAAATAGGAGCTCTTGAGAGAAAGTTTTTCCCAAAATGTAAGGAAAAAAAAAAAAAAAGGCAATTTCTGTGTTTGGAAAGTTTTTAACTTGCATATAAAGCTATTTAAATCTTTATAGTTCCTTTGCTGTTATTTAATAAAGTAAAATAATATCCATTAGTGGCTTTTCTGCAGTTACCTTATTATAGCATTATACTGAAATGCAGGTTGTTAAATTTAAAAGTGAATTTCTAAAAGCTGCAGAAAAATGAAAACTTAAAATTTAAACTAAAATGGTGCTGCTTGTTTAAAATAGTTAATATGATTAAAATCAAATGAAATTTGTTCAAAATGGTGTGTATTGTTAAGTAAAATAATAAATTGTACAATTTTTTTTAACTAAAGTACTATTCAAGACAAATTGTTAATGGCCTAGTTTGCACAGAGCTGTATCTAATAGATACGGAAAAGACTGACTACTATACAGAAAAATGGGCAAAGGAAGTAGACAGGTGAAAAGAGTTCTGAAGAGAAATAGAAAGCCTTGAAGAAATGGTGAAAGATTTCTTGCAGAAATGCTCCAGTCTGGAGTGGGATAGAGCCTAGGAAGCAGGTAAGAGTACCAGGAAAACTGACACTGAAAAAGTGTCTTGTCTCCCACACTCAACACTGCTATTGTCAGCCAGTGAATACCGCAAGGAGAGGGAATTAAGGCAGCTTCTAAACGAGTGATGGAAAAATGCTTACCTGCACTAGAATTTAGGACATGATACATTTACAAAATAAAGATTTTTAACCCATCAAGTTGATGAAAAGTTTTTACTACCTAGGGGTATGGGTGTTGGGATCTGGGCACTCCTATATTACTTATTGAAATGTGGCTTTCTGCAACCTTTCCAAAGTAAGTTTATAGTATCTATTAGACACCAAAGTTAGACCAAATATTCCTGATTTGAGATATCTGTCCTACACAAAATTGCCCCTTTTTAAAAAAAAAAAAAAAATTTACTACATAAGAATGGTTATTGAAATATATTTGTAGAGGGAAAAATCAGGAGGCAACTTGAATGATCATCAATGAGAAGATGGTTTTAATAAAGTATGATCCTCTGATACTTTAGAATTCACATTGTGATTATATGTTGTTGTTGTTATATGCCATCAAGTCAGATCCGACTCACAGTGACCCCTCCTTGAGTTTCCAAGACAGTATCACTATGGAAGTAGATTGCCCCATCTTCCTTCCTAGGAGTGGCTGGTGGGTTTGAACCACCAGCCTCCTGGTTAGCAGTCAAGTGCCTTAGGCACTATGCTACCAGAGCTCCTTGTGATTATAAAGCTGTTAAAAAAGTTTACTATATCCTTAGTTCTCAAATTTGAGATTGTATAAGAAATGACTTGTTAAAAATTCAGATTCCTGGATGATTCCAGGGTTTTTGATTCAATAGACCAGAGCTGGGCCCAGGAAGTACATATTGAAGTACAAGGTGATTCTGTTGTAGGGCATTTGGTTGCAATGATCTGGAGACCTTTCTTTGAGAAATGTTGGGTTGGATTCCTACCAGAAGTCCGAAAGGAGGCCTACAAAGTGTGCTGGTGGTCAACATGTTTTGTAAGACCCACGTGATATTGACTCTCATGGTGAATTCATTGTCAACATCTAAAATTCAGATTTCACTTAAAAAAAAAAAAATCCACATTTCCAGGACTGCTTGAAAAAACAAGAGAATATAGCAGTGGGTCCAAATTCCCACATCATCACCTGCAGCTAGTTATAAAGAAGTATGGGTCTCTCAATTTTGTCATGGTCCACACTCTTTCCCAACCTGTTTTTTGTGTTTATGTTACCTGTCTGACTCCTGTAGGCATCTGAGTGTGTCAATCATGATTTACATGTGACATAGCATCTTAAGTAAAAAA